TGTGGTTGTTCCAAGTGTTTAACGTTTAGATCAGCGATGACAGTTTAAAGTGACCTTTGTTTGTTTCATTTTTCCGCGTCTGCTTTGTCGTGTAATCAGTTTTTAATCTTTTCCTTCTAACTTAGGCTTGCCAGTTCCAGGGGTATTGACTGAGAAATTAAGTTTTATAGGACAATATTGAACCCCTGACCGTCTAAACCGAAATTTTCTTATGTCACATCAATTTCTTGTTTTTCTGTTCTTTTAAATATGGCGTACGCGAATTATTCACTAGCTAAAACAGATCCAAATCATATCCAATGCATGATTAAGACTGCTCAAGAATTTTTTGGTGAAATTTAGTCCCTTTACAGAATCCAGGATTTAATAATGATACTTCGAATGCTTTGATGATCTTAGATACATGAGAATCGTATCAAAAAGTGCTTTTTGTGCTTCTTTGGACAGCATCATAGCAACTCCTAGTGTTTAAGACATTTTCTTCATCTTGGCTGGAGTACAACAGCATTTCTTCTGAAGCCGATATCTTTTGTTCAGCCTGCGTTTAATGGGTTTTACTTATTTCAAGCACCACCAGTTTGTATCTCTTCATTTCCACAGCAACTTGAGTGGTTCTTCTGGTCTCTCACATTGTGTGAAAATTCCATGTGTTTACAATAATGGTTTCTCTAGTTGTCAGAAGGAGTATCGGTCTCGTGACTTCCGAAGAAACTCGGCTTTCATCATGAGATGTCATAATTAAATAAATCAATAGACTAATATAAGAGACAGAATAATAACATTATGCGAACATAGTAGAACTGCACTCTTGTTAGAAGACGATTATAGTAAACCTCAGTTACTTTTAAACTATTCTAGCGATGTGCCTCTCTCTTCCTCTAGTTTATTCAAACTCCTACATACAAAGTATGGACACAGTAACTATTAGTGATCTCGATTCTCTTGGTCTTTTAAATCAGATCGATCAACGTAATATCTTGGGACCCGAACAAATGTATTCTTGATTACTCAAGGAACTTGCGAATTTCACGACGAATCTGATAAGTATATGTCCTAATCTATCTGTAACCCGTTATACATTACCAAAAGTAAGGAAGTCCTGTCTTCAGAGATAAACCTAAGAACTAGTGACTCGTAAGCCTAACTAGTGTGGTTGTGAAAATTTTAAAAAAGATTGTTTTTAAGGAGCTGTTTAAGTATCTGAACTAAGATCAGATTCTTTCCGAAAGGCATTACGAATCAAATCAGGCTATTCATGTCTCATAAACCTGCCAGTAGCTCACGAAGGTTGGTGCTGTCTTAAAGATCATAAGCAACCTATAGATCTAGCCTTCATTAACTTTAGAACAGCTTTTGACAAAGTCCCTCACAACCGGCTGTCATCTGAAATGAGTGATGTTGGAGTAGGAAGCAACACACTTATTTAAATTAAGGATTCCGTAATCGGACGCCAGAAAAGAGTACGGGTTAACTCCAAGTTATCTAGCTGGAAAACTGTGCTTAGCAGGGTGCCTCAGGGCACAATTTTGGGATGAGTGTTGTTCCTTTTGTATATAAATGACCTTCCTAATCTCCTATCTTCATAGGCTATGTTACGTGCCGATAATATGAAAATATGGAGGACGATACGAATAAAAGTTACAGTCCACAACTTCAAAATAACCTACAGAAATTATCGGGATGGTCCAGAAAATAGCAGTCGTCAATAAACACTTTCAGGTGCATCATGCTACATATTGGTTACTATGATACAGATAAGTATACGGTGAATAACACTGAGCTACCTGTTATTCCGATACAATAACTTGGGTGTCATTATTTGCCAAGACTTGAAAACTACTACACATTTCTATACATTAGCCAACTAAGGTTTTTAGACCTTCTGACCAATACCTGAAGGCCTTAGCCATGTCAATGCTCAGACATTTTCGATTTTCTACACAGTATTCGTTCGTCTTAAACCAGAGTATTGGATGCAAGTAGCTACAATTTGCATAAAAAGATAATGAGCTATTGGAGAAGGTTCAAAGAACCGCAACTAAGCTGATTACCAAGACTTCAAAGCTGACTTGAGACGAGAGACTGGCCAAATTAAACCTATTTCCTTTATCATATTGAAAGACCAAAGGTGAATGAATAAAAGTTTTCAAATTGCATAATGATGAAGAGGCATTTGACAAGCCCGCATTTGTGTTACTCTCCAAAACAGAACTTGAGAGGACACTAAAACTGTTCACAAAATCAGAACGAATTACTAGTCGGCTGACTGCCGATTTTCCATCGACTTGTCAATGCATGGGACTCGTTACCTCAACACATAATTGAAGCTCCATTTGTCGATACATCCAGAAGTATCTTGAATCATCTGAGAGACTAACATCGCCAGTACCAACACAGTCCAACTCGCCTCCTGTCTTTTACAAACTAAAACTCACTTGTTACAATTCCTAACCAGTTACATTCGAAAGAACATTTAAAATGAATAATAACTCAACTATTATGTGCTATGTGTCTGATTTTAACCATAAATTATGATATATTATTTAGACATGGATAGTGAAAGGTAGTCATGAACGAAGTACTTATATAAATTTCAGTTGCTGAGATGTTGACATAAAATCTTCATTGACATCATCAATCTATTATTGTTCGACTACTACTAGAAGAACAGAATGAGCATACATGACTCCCATTCACAGAAATCGAACCCGATAACTTCGGTCTCGTGTGTGAAAGCTTAACCTCTAGATCACTGAGCAATTATCCAATGGTGTTAATGTCGACCGTTAATTCATCCAAGCTATTACGCAACCCCCACTTATTGTCATCAATAGACAACTGCTTATACTTGACAGGACTGAAGTCTACTGGTCACAGCTTCTAACTAGAACTCCGAGAATCCCCTCACGAAGTTAGTGTATTCGTAATTTCAATGAAACTCAACAATCTTCACAACTCTAAATAAGAATTGAATTGAAATCATAAAATTAATACCAACATCTAAAAGGCACCAGTCTCAATCTCATGTACTACCACTAGTATTATATATATATATATATATATATATATATAGATATATATATATATAGATAGATAGATAGATAGATAGATAGATAGATAGATAGATAGATAGATAGATAGATAGATAGATAGATAGATAGATAGATAGATAGATAGATAGATAGATAGATAGATAGATAGATAGATAGATAGATAGATAGATAGATAGATAGATAGATAGATAGATAGATAGATAGATAGATAGATAGATAGATAGATAGATAGATAGATAGATAGATAGATAGATAGATAGATAGATAGATAGATAGATAGATAGATAGATAGATAGATAGATAGATAGATAGATAGATAGATAGATAGATAGATAGATAGATAGATAGATAGATAGATAGATAGATAGATAGATAGATAGATAGATAGATTAGAAAACGCAAACAATTTCGGAAATACATGTGTATTTCATTGTAATTTTCTTCTCTTCTTTTTTTTCAGAAAAATTCTTCAAATGATTAATATCAATTTGAAATAAATTTTATTTTCAGATTATTCAAAAAAAATTATCGTAACACAATAATCATATAAATACAATTAGGATCATTCAGTTGAATCGAACAACTCATTTAAAATATATTTAATAAGAAAGAAAAAAAGAAAAGAAGAATTAAATCAGATAACAATTGGTGAATTTTATTGATTAGTAGTATTGTTATTATTAGGATGTCAAATAATTATGTTTTTTTAATACAATTTAAGAAATGATCAAAGATGATAATTGTAAGAACTACGCTAAAACAGATTTTCCAAGTAACTGTTTTGTCCAAATGGTTGAGTTTACTTTAAGCCAGCCATACAGTATGTGTATATTAGAAAGTCCGCTTATAATTCCTTCTTTTATGTTTCACCTGATATCAACTAGAATATGTAAGCCTCACTTGTATTCTAGCCCCCGTACACATCATATACATGTCAATAAACCGACAGATGAATAATGAATCTTTAAAAATATCAAGAATAATAAAGAATAGAAACGCAATAAATAGTGAACCGTAGGTAAATTACTAAACAATGATTTGATACTCGAAATTATTATGTGATCGGATTTTATGAAACGGTCAAAATGAATAGAATCAAACGGACATGGAGAAAATGAGTGTAAAGAAAAGGAAGATGAATTTTACCATGTTAAATTATTGTTAAACGCTTTTGATGCACAATTTTAAGCATTTTTTTTATTTACTAAAATCTAATATACTGACTAAGAGAAAAAAAGTGATCAGACAAATTGAAAACACTGAAAAAGGTAACAATGAAAGTGAACAAAATAATAATGAATTGAACATTGACTTATTTGAAGTTAGATAACATTGAGACACTTGAATACCGTCTATTGAATTGATTGATTGTGTAAAATGTTAACCGAATGATGTAATGAACAAACGAACTAATGAATGAATGATACCAATGAAATGGAAATTATGTGCGTTCGGGAGTAAGTTTCTTATTACTATTATTATTATCATGATTATTCTACATTTTTTATTGAGGTAGTTAAAGCATTTCATTAAGTCACATGATTTAAAAATTGACTATTGACAAAAGTTGTGTTATGTACAATGTGTGTTTGTTTTTTCTTGTTTAATGAAATGAATATTATGAATTAATTGTTCTGTTCTGTTCTGGTTTGTTTTATTTTCAAAAACAAAACGGATCTATACCACCTATCCATATGGTGAATGAGAGAATAAAATACAAAATGAAGTGAAAGATTGATTATTGAATTTGTTTTACTGAAATAATGTTTGTTAATTGTTGTTTTGTTTCTTATTCAATTTTCTCATTTCACGTTTCTTCTCATAAAAAAACAGTAATTGTTGGTGTTTGATTGAAATTAGGATGTTCATAAAAATGATGAATCTAATGATACACGTTCATAGATATTTTTGTTTCATGCGAGTCGTAAACATTTCAGAAGTGTATTCTTAAGAATGCCAATTTTTGTCACATTCATTACGAAACATTAAATTTTCAGCATTAGTCCCAGTTTGTTGAGATTTTAAATAAATATTCTCGGAAACATGAAAATTACCAAGTTTTTCTGATTGACCTAAAGACCATGAATGTTGTTTATTTGATACATTCATCATTGTTCGATGATGTTCTTTTCTACGTGCTCTATTCAGCTCTTCAGTAATTACATGATTATCTTCTTCATCCCCGTCGATTTCTTCATCTTCCTCTTCTCCTCCTCGTCCTTCTTCTTGTTCGTTGTCTTCATCTTCGTCATCATCATCGTCATCAACATCTTCATCAACACCATCATGTTTACCACGATGAATAGGACGTAATTTATGTCGTTGTGTTGTTAACATGTAATTTGTTTTAAAATTTCTTCCTTTATTAGAAGAAATATTATGATTTGTAGAAAATGTATTATTCTCCATCATAAGTCCACCAGTGGTAATTGTATCTAATGGACCAAATTCTTCAATAGATAATCGTTTACGTTTTATGCATTCATCATCACTATCATCATCACACATGGATGAACTTTTATGTTTATTTTTTCTACCGATTGTTGAAATAGTTGAACCTTGTTCAGCTAATTCAAGTTGTTCCAATGTACCAGGACCATTTAATTTAGCTATATTATGATCTTTTTTCCATTTCATTCTTCGATTCTAAATAATAAAAAAAATCAATAGTAATAAATTCAATCAATCAATAATCTATCATCGGCGTTTTGTCAGTAATTCGTAAAAAGTCCGAAATCAAGTGTATATGGTCAATTTATTTACTTATTCAGTAATAACAAGTTAGTAGCAAGCATATTATAGACAAAACAAAGCCTCGACGAGCTTTGTTTTCTAGTGTAGGAATAGGTTGGAAGAAAGTCAGGGGCGGCCAAACCAAAACATGGCAAAAATGCATGAAGTCATTGACAAGTGAACTTAGCCATGTCGGTAATTGTCGAATACCTGGTTGGGGTCCACGAGATGAAATAATAATCGATGGTTAGAGATCCTGAATGGCATGGCTCGCAGTGGCGCCGGTGCATTTATTCTTTTTGTTCTCTCAAATCCTAATCTTCTGGGTTCTTCAACAACTCTAGTTTTGACTTTTTAAACTTTTCTCATTTAATCATACTTCTTGAATAATATCTTCTAATCCTAACCTCTCCGATTATTCCCAATAATTTTACTACTTCTACTACTATTGGATTTGAATTGACAATTACATCTCTGTGCTGATGTGGTATGGCAACATGAACTGATGTACTTACGTACGAAGTTCTACGTTACATCTGACTGACTGACTGACTGATTATTATAGACACTTTAATAGTTTTTAGCTTATTCTGCCTTCCTTATTCATTCTAATCTTTTTCTTATTAGTTCTTTATATATATATATATATACTTGTCATTGTACATTGAATGATCGAGCATTGTTTTGAAGATCCAAAACTATTGAATATTGAATGTGTATTAGAATGTGTACAACAAAAACTGCACTAACTATTCGTTTTCATTTAAATGAAACACAAAATAAGCATGGGGTAATAAATAATAAGGTGAGATAAATCTAGAAAAAAAATAACCTGATAAAATGTATGTTAAAGGAAAACAGGAAAAGAAATATTTATGAGAAAAAAAAATTACTAGACATGTTCATTTTTTTTTAATAAGTGTCCTCTGTATTTAAATCTTTTGTTCTGATGCATTACTCCCTATGTCATTTAGTTAGACTTCTATTGTTTCTAAAGCGATATATATGTATATGTACATATATACATACAAAATGAAAGGGTGTTCACCGATTCATTTAACTAGAATAATCAAAATTGGTAGGAGAAATAACAAACATACTGAAAGTGAAATTTTTTTCCATGCCTACATGCTACTATTACAAATAACACAAAAATATGACAGAAAGGGGGAGTACAAGAGAAACTTTTGTACTACTACTTCGTACAGAAGTTTCCCAAATGAGGGGGGTGGGTGTTCCCTTAAAATGAAATGGGAAAGATAAAGAGGAATGGGATTGCAGTGAAGAAGTAAATGGATGTGTGTTGCTTTTTGTTCCGTATCAAAAGGGGGTAAAATAACATACATAAATAAGCAGTGTACATATCATCGGTAGTACATAGAGATGATGATGCACAAATTACCACAACATATATATATCTATATATCTAACATGTACATATTTGCATCCGTGACTAATAAATTTATGAGGTTGTCAATTTTTTTCTTTTTCTGTTTTTTCGGGTGAAAAGATTTTGTTTTACAAAGAAAAAAATAATAACTACACTTTAAATGAATGATATATGCGATCATCTTAAATTGTCTGTTCATACACACATTGTGTGTTATTATTTGCAAGCTGTTTTTCATGAATATTTAGGCAGTAATAAATAAGTCTTAAAGAGTTTTGATAATTTAGAAAAAAAAATTAAAAAAAAACTAATCTACTTAGATTTATTATTTGCTGAAGATAGACGGATTTTTTTTTTCAAAGTCGTTCATGTTTCATGCTGACAAACTTGTGAATAACAAGATCTTACTCTGCATAAAAATACTCATTTTACAGGAATACAATATTGCGTTAATCCCTAATCATCTTTGATTCGAGTTCATTCAGTAAAAATTAGTTCATTTCAGTAGAATTGAGAACAGTAATTTATTCGTCGAATAAATTTTTAAAATATTAGTTGAAAATATTAAAAACAGGAAAAGACAATCAGTATATTTGATGTTTTATAATAGTCTCATTAAAACTGTTTACAAGTCTATATAAGTTGATGAGAAAACATTTATATATTTTAGATTAATTGAGAGAATGTAAATCATTTGATGTGCAAGTCAGCACTATCTTATGTCCTCAGACATAAGGAACATTTAGTGTTGCTCAAAATCAACTCGATGAGATAAAAGTCCCTAATATGTCTTCAAGAAAAAGTATTGATAAGTTTGTCTAATTTATTTCCTCTAATCAATCTAGATAACAAAGCAGATCTTAGCTAACTGACTTTCTTAATTCCAGCATTAAAAAAATTTGAAAAATGTAGATATAAATAGAGATGGATAGTGGTTAGCAGTGATATTCATGCTGTACGCTTCGTCTTAATCAATATTAGTTAGCTGGATGTACCAACATCACAAATATGATATTCGCTCTGGGACTGGAACCCGATAGGTTCGCCACGAACGTGATTGCTGAATTCATTTATCTGCACAATTTACATGGCTATTGACTTGTACATTATAGGGAATTTCGATTCATATACAGTGATTATTTGAACAAAATCATTAATGAGAAGGGTTGTTGAAAAACAGATGACCATTAAGATCGTATGACCTATCTGACAATTTAAATATTGGAAACTGGATTTATATCTCTAGAATAACTAGAAGCTGCGTTATAATTTATCTCATATCATCTAATCTCTGAGTGAGCTATGTCGACAAGTCGCAGTGTGACTACTAGTCTAAAAGACACAACATGGCGTGGTAGTAAATGACATTCAGAAGGAAGTCCAGCTCTACCGTTTCATACTATTTAGTATCTATTACGTACTTCATTTTGAATTTCAAAGAAATTAGTCTTTTTAAGGTTTAAATATAAATAAGAAAAAGCGCGCTAAACAGAATGAGGGTTTACTCTTCTAGTGATTCCTTATTAATTAATTTATTTAATTTTTAAATACAGTTTAGCTTCTTTTTACTTATGTGGAATGACAGAAAACTGATTGCTAACATTGCCAACCAACATTTGTCCTAATTGGACAATTTAAACTTTTGAAATTTATCTTGTTTTCACAAATTCCACTATACTGATAGTTATAATGTGCTCACTTCAGAATGCAAGTCCTAGCATACTAATGAGAAGCTATGATCAGTAGAGTTCAGTAGGTATCGGGTGTGAACATTATTTACTACATGCAGTGGGTAGGGATTGCTAGATATCATGGACTGGTTGAAGTTAGATACGTGCACTAGTGAACTCATGGTCAATGATCTAAAGGTTAGGCGTTCGCTCACGAAACCAAAAGTCCTGTGTCTTAGTTTTCTATGGAGAGGTTATAGATGTGTATTGATGAGGATTCCCATACTAGAACGAAATCACTGCTCAGTGCTCCCTAGTTTTTATGGATGGCCTAACTAAGACCATTTCGTCATTTGAACTATGAAGATTGACTTAAATGCTCTTATTACTAACTACTATTCAATATCGCAATTTAACCACAGACTATTTCGTGACATTTAACAACGAATTCCAAAAACTTAATATTCATCATTAAACAATCATAAACAATATCAAAGTACGTACGTAGGTTCGAGTTACCACACTGCATTAACACAAGGTGATAAAATAATCGAGTAGTAGTAGTAGTAGTAGTAGTAGTAGTAGTAGTAGTATCAATGATAATAGAAAACATTAAATACAAACAATATGATGTGATGACAGACAGTGAAAAAAGTATTCAACAAAGTAAAACAAAGAGAGTATATTGCTGAGCTATTGAGTTCACTTCTAAGTTATATCATTAAACATCTACAAATATTAGTTATGATAATCATGCAAAAATAATTAATAATATAATCCAGTGTATCAATATATCAAACTGAATTACTTTAAACTAATCAAATAGCCAAAGAATAATTGTACATTGAACTTACCTGAAACCAAATTTTAATTTGTCTTTCTGTTAATGTAAGCGTATGTGCTATTTCAATTCTTCGTCTACGTGTTAAATATCTAATAAGTGAATAAGAAGAAAAAAATATACATTTTTATTTATTTTTTATCCTGTAAAATGAAAAAAACAACTGATTATTAATATAATCAAGAAATATATTATCTCAACTAAATAATGTGAATTAATCGTTTCGGTAGTAAGACTTCAACTTTAGATTTAGTTAAATAAATTCTCTGGTATTAAATTTTGACTCATTGCTTTACTGGTCAGTTCATAACTCTTTTCTTTGAAGCATATTCATTTTCTGTTACAATCTACAAAACCCTATGATAAATATCATTAAATTTGCTCACTAGTGACTATCTATGTGAGGAAATTCTCGGAGTTCTAGTTGAGAGGCTGTGACCAGTGGAGTTCAGTCCTGTTAGATGTGAGATATTTACCTACCCAAGGTGGTCGGTATTCTTGTACAATAACCTGAATTTACATTAACACCGTTGAATACCGGGTCAGTGATCTAGAGGTTAAGCTTTCACACATGAGACCGAAGTTATAGGGTCCGATTTCCGCGAGTGGGAGTCGTGTATGCGCACTACTGATGAGTCTTACACTAAGACAAAATGGCCGTCCAGTTCTTCAAGGTTTCTCACAGTGTTTTAACAATAATCGTCGATGCATAATATAATGAAACTCAACAATCTTCATAACTCTAAAAATGAATTATTCATAATGCTTTTCTTTTAAGTATATTCATTTTGTGTTACGCTTTTTTAGTTCATTTTATTTATGATTCATAAGAATAAGAATTGAATTGAATGAACTAAATAGATAAGCAAATAATGCGCTGTTCTATTCTTTTGTTGAGTGTATTTGGTTAATTTTCGTTATCTCTCTTGTAATAAAATACAATGAGATGCATTTTACAAATTGATTGTATTTTCCTTTTCAAGAAATGAATGGATGGATTACTTACAACTGAATTTATTTAGCTATATAATTCAGCCAATACATCCATAACAAGGGTTTTGACAGTCGAAAATATTATTTTATGAAAAGATTAATTGAATCATTAGTTGTAAATGTAATAACATTTCAGAAATATATTCAACTAATATTACTAAGAGTCAGGAAATATTTTTCTCTAATTACTACATCTAAACAGTTATTTACAGAAAACAAAAAAAAACATACAAATTGAACTGAATCGACCTATGATCGATCAATATCTTATTATCACTGAAAACAGAAAAATAAAACCTATCCACTCATTGCGCAATCAACAATTTTAAAATCTGATTGTTGTAATAAATTGCAAATTTATCGTACCTGGAAATGCATATCAAAGGATCCGAGATCTCTGATGAAATCGTAGGTTCGCATTAATCAGCTTTTCTGTTTTTGAAATCAAGTTGAAACATTAATAATGTTATGCAAAGTTGGGAACTAAAGAATCCCTTAATTATTATCAAAAAGGTACGTATATTTATATACAAATATCTAGGCAAATTACTTCAGATTTGTTGGATAGAAAGCAGCAAAATAACTAGCTGCCAGTTGAGGAATGGAATCGGAAAAAGACACTAGAATTGGATTCAATACATTTTACAATAACCATTAAACTATATCACTAGGGCAAGAAGAGAATAGGTTGACCGAAGAAAAAACGACCTCGAGCTTTGAACGCATATATCAAGATGATGAATATCCCTTGTTAGCTCGACTATCCTGGCAGGCATCCTATTTCTTAACAAGGAGAACAGGTTTAAATAAATGATAGGTAATACTAGGATCAAATAAGTATCAAATCTTCTTTGGTTTTTCAATAGCATCTAAACTAAGATCAATCCATTAAGAATTTAAGTCATAAATATAAAATCATTTATTTCCGATTATTATTATTATTATTATTATTATTTGAAAATAAACTTACTTATTGAAATGAAATTCTTTTTCTAATTCTAAAGTTTGATAACGTGTATAAGTTTGTCGTGTACGTTTTTGATCTACAGTAATATCTAAAATAAAAAAAATTATTAAAAGGAAAGTGAATATATAGAACTAAAAACGTAATACAAAACTGAGAAAAGTTGGGAAAAAAATTCACTTCTTTTCATAAAAATGGAAATGAATCTTAACAGTAAATTATTCTAGGCAAAATGCTTAATGTTAATGTCCCGGGTTCGAATCCTGCGGGATGCAGGAGTCGTGGATGCGCACTACTGATGAGTCCAGTACCAGGGTGAAACGGTCATCCAGTGCTTTCAGGTTTCTAATGGTGGTCTAACAATGACGATCTCAAATGTGTAAAAAAAAACACAAACCTTCAAACCTCTGCCTGAAAAATGCTTAGTTTTCTTTTTCGGCACAAATAATAAAACAAAACGAGTAAATGAAAAGAAATTCATTTATGAATGAATAACCCCTGACGGTACAATCGATTTCAAATGATCTAAAAACAAACTGTTCAATTCGCCAATCGATAGTGATGGCTAAATCGATGAAATCAGGGTTGATTGAAGAGAAAAAACAAGTAGTTTAACTTAGGATGATTGTTATTTTTTTTAGATGGAGAATACCTTTTTTCCCCTTATTTCCTATGAACTGGGTTAGTAAGAAAAAATCATCGAATTCTGTTAAAATGTGAATATATTTTCAGGTAAAATACTTTTTTCTTACAAGCCCTCACTTGGAACCCTCAAAGCAAAAGGAAAAGAGGAAGGCCAAGGAACACATTACGCCGAGAAATAGAGAAAGATATGAGAAGAATGAACAAACAATGGACAGAACTGGAAAAGGAAGCCCAGGACAGAGTTGGTTGGAGAAAACTGGTGGGTGGCCTATGCTCCATTGGGAGTAACAGGCGTAAGAAAGTAAGTGCTTTTTTTCTTGTAACAGATTACTTGGATTTAAATTTTAAAGATCATTTTTACCTAATTACACCAGTTAGAAAATCGATTAAATAATGCAGTCTACACTTATCACTTTATATGAGATCAACTGAAGATATACATTTTCAACTGGGAACACAACACTATTAGAATAAAAGAAATAGGTCACTTGGGTTAGTTAACTAACATTTAGCTTTGCAATATTTTTGATAATGTAAAAAGAAATAAGCCTGATTTAAAGGGATGAGATATATTTATTCAGTTGTATTAGTCAGAATTTAAACTTATCACTAGTTAGCAAGTGTTTTAAAACGTCAATTAGAGGATCAGTTGTCAAGTTTTTAACCTTGAAGTTTAAAACAGCGAGGTTTAATTCTTCTGTGAACTAATAAATATTGAAATTAATTTGATTTCTTGAAATAGTTTTTACACATTTGAAATCATCAATCAATCATTGTTATACCACCATAGGAAGACTGGAAGCACTAGACGGCCGTTTCGTCCTGGTATGGGACTCATCATCAGTGCGCATCTGTGAATCGTGCACCTCACAGGATTTTGGATCACTGGGCCGGCATCCAACGTTGTTAATGTTTAACTCTGATTGATCTAGGGATTTTGCACGACCTCACCCATTTGTCTTTGATAGTTACTGCCTACACCCAACAGGGTTAAACTTCACTGGTCACATCTTGATTAACTTTAGTTCTGGTTAGTTTTATTTTAACATTGTTGTATTCTACAGAGTGGGATTGCTAACCCTTTACCCAACTCTGCTCTATTAATTGGGTTTGATTCCGGCAGTTCTCTTAGAATAACTCCAAACTGAAGCAGTAATCGAATGAATATCTGTCGGTAACAACTGTTAAGGAAATCCTAGGATAGAGTAGGTTAGAAATTACTATCTGCCTGCTTATACTGTTCACATTTTCTAATTGTTCCTTATTTTAAATCAGACCTATACAACTTCATGGAATTCAAATATCTCTGTAAAGAATCATTCATTAAATCGATAAACTAGGCTTATTTTTTCTCACTTCATTTATAGAATTCCTTGTCATTATTCAATTACGTCATCTAGTTATTCATTGAAAACAATCACTCCTAAATTATATTCACTCATCTATGTGATTTGATTTTGTGATTATATATATATTCATCTCGGTATACAGAATTAGACAAAATGGAAAATGAATATAGATTACTCTCTGGATAAACGATTTAAAAATAATCTCAAGTCAATTGTAATCCGAATACTAATAGCAATAATAATAATAATAATAATAATAATAACCGACTAAGTCCTGCATATTTTCTTTTTTTACACGGTAAATAGGACAGAAAGAGGCCTGGAAAAATAATAATCATCATCATCATCATTATCAACCATTAGTGCTTCTTATTGGTAACTAAGGTAAATTCCCTCCTATATTTTTGTGTGTTTCTTCACACAATGCATTTGTATATCTGTGTATATGATTATAATGATTATAGATTATCTGTAGTTATTCAGAAACGAAAAATAAAAACCCAAAAGTAAATATGGGTATATTTATTCATTAGGCCAGATGATAATGGTGATGAGAAGATGAAGACCAAGACGAAGAAGACGAATAGTACTAAATAGACACATACAAAGGCAATAGGACTAAAAGAAATAAATATTCATCTGACCTAGACGGTCTACTACTACTAGTACTACTACTACAACTATACAAATAGTTCTATCCTTTTTTTTATGTCTATAAATCATTGTGTGTTTTATACTACTAGCTGGTAGCTCCTTTTTTAGGTTTACAATCTAATATAATGTCAAGCAAAAAAAAGATTTATGATATTAGGTATTATGGTGTATACATAATAAATAAATAAATAACTTAATTAACAATTGACTAAATTCCATTACTATGATTATGATTAGTGTGCCAGTAGTAGTACTAGTAGTAGTAATAGTGGTAGTAAGTAGTAGTGGTAGTAGTTTCAATGAATAAAACCATTAACTCATCTAATCGATCTTAGCTAGAGTTTCTCAGTACCTTCACATGTGTAAAAAATGAATAAATTATCATATGAAAATCTATATAAAAGTAGTATATCTGATATTTGATAAAAATTTATCTATGGTTAACTGATAACAAGTTGATTTGTACTATACTCTTGGATAGAAGGGAATAAATCGTTATATATGGACGAAACCTACTGAATGATGTATTCCGGTTTACAAAAAATTAATATATTTCTTTTATTTTGGTTGTCATCAACTTAAATTCAGCTACTTGATATGTATATCGTAAGATAACTTTAATCGTTTTATAATATTTATATATATATATTTCTAACTGTAGAGTTTGAAGAATTTTTTGCTGAAATATTCTTTATTATTGAATATCTTGCGCGGAATATTCAATTTGTAAGTTTAAATTTCTTTATTAAAGGATTTACATGTCAATTATTGAACAAGTTAACTGGTTTTTTACTTTCTACTTGTATTTTTAGAATTGTTTTGTAAACGCATCTAACTGAATCTAGTGTATACATTATACTAGTGTAGTGAAGGAGAACACAGGTGAGGGCAACCGAATTGTATTTACCGAACATTACAGAGTTACTCAGTAAAATAGGAAAACCATATCGTAAACGGTTAATTTGCAAATCTTCAATCCATCATCAATCCATTGTCTGACATTTCACTATTCATGCGTTTCATACAAATTCCATTGTGTTCCCACTCTTCCTTTCTTGATCTCTTCCCCCATCTTCTTCTGCCAGACATTACGTTTACACTCGCGTCATATACTACTTATAAGTATCGCGCACCACACTAGTATTATTGGATCTTTAGACACACATAAGCCAGTGATTAAAAAATTTAATTGTCTCATTGAAACAGAATAAGGAAACCATAAATTGCTATTTTAATTGCTAAGAATTAATAATGAAGAAAATAGGATTGGATATTTCACATCATAAAATGAATATTTCTTCAGTAGTATTGATAGTTTTACAGAAAAAACTATCTTTAGTGTTTAAATGCATTTTTTAAAAATGTTTTAACCTATGAATGACAAAGATTATAATCAAAAGCCAGGAGTAATTTATTCCTCTTGTTGGAAGTGACCAATTGAAATTCTTATGATACTTGAACTAATTTTGTATTTTCGAAAATATAATCAATAAGTTGATTCCTTCTACTGTGTATAAATAAAATTTACTGAAGGTGTCGATTGATTAAACAAATGAGAAAGTTAAAAAAAAGTCGTTTGTATGAAGCCATTTGATATTTTTTATGTGATAGAATAACTAATTTCAATTATTTTCATGAAAGGGATTGTGGAAATTGTTGAGTCCCTTTAAATCGATCATGAATCGTTCAAAGTTAGACCAGTATTAAAAACATGGAAGTACTGGACGGTCGTTTCGTCCTAGTGTATGGGATTCTTCTTTTTTTGTGTGCAAAATGGAGTTCAACTAATCACATTTAATACTTTAGAATCAAGTTCTAACATAGTTGACAATCATGTCATATATTTAACAGAAAAAATATGTACAACTGGGTATGTTCATCATATATTTCGATAATATTTCATATTTACGTAATCATACTGTCAGAATTTATCATTTGAAGTAAATAAGAAGAACCCCATCTTTTTTTAAAATGTCAATCCTTTAATAGAAATTTTAAAATAAACGAGTATATTCATTTATTGGCTGGTAAGAGTTGATGACCATCAAATTGATAACTCAGCATGCAAATCTTGAAGTTCTGTTAGGGACTAACAGTAGTTGACATACTTGAGAGTTCTCACTCAATCATCAATTTTCATAAGGTTAAAAAATATGTCATTTAGATGAATGCCAGTTAACATGGTTTATTCTTTGCAACGTTAACTATTTACAGCTCAAAATTTGTAGATTTTCGTAACTTTCAGAAAGCATTTTAAAAATTCACTTGCTAGGTAGGATATCATTATCTAGGAATGATATCTATATTATTGACGGTTGCTTGGTCACTGAGGAGTGACCAATGTTATGCATATCAAGTCATTCTTTAGTAATGTTGAAATTCTATCGAGCATGCGATCATGTGACCATTAGTCTAGGGAACTAAATATTCAGTATACTGTATT